ATATATAGTGTGACCATGGCCCAGCAGACACTGCAGTCAATGAGATCCATCGGCACCAGTCCCCAGCAGGTGACACACTACCATTCCTGCCCTCCCACACGACTGGGCCTCACAACGTGGATGCCCACAGCTGCCTCTGCCTTACCTGCTGCCCCCCAGTGTGACGGGCCACCTGGTGGGGTGTCACTTTGTGTACATCCTATTTCCAAATTTCCCTCTCCAAAAAGCCAACCAAAACAGGAAAAAAACAAAACCACCCAGAACTCAACAGTGCAAGGAAACACAGCGCATTCCAACGTTTGGCAAGTGATGCGTTCACCTGAGATAAGTGACTTGGGGAGGCGGTGACACGCTGCTCGCTGTGAAGTAGGAAGGCAACACATCGAGAACCAGGACCAAGGGGGCATCCCCAGCCACCCTGTCCCCACTGCTCCCTGGTCACCGCCAAAGCTGGCCTGGAGCCCTCGGGTGTCCGTGACACCGTCCAGCTGAAACCCACGCTGGAGGGGACACAGCCGTTCATGGCACCCTGCATGCGCTTGGGGCGTCCAGGCCGTATCCCTAAGCTTGGTGTCGGCACGTGTCTGGGTCCTGCAGAGCTCCGTTCCTTGTGCAGACACAGAAGCGTGCCAGAGTCCGGCGGAATGGGAACAAAGCTGTAGTGACATCGAACCGCACAAGGTAAGCGTCGCGTGTGCAAAATTCAACTCAAAGAAGGCAGTGTCCACCCGGACGGACAGGAGCCTGGCCGGCTGCCCCACCCCGCAGGCAGCAGCAGTCCCTAGTGCTGCAGTGGCCAAGCCAGGAGTGGTCACTGCGTGTTGTGCCCACAGGCTCTGGGCAGTCACTCCACCATCGTGTCTCCTAGGCCTCCCGTCCTCACCGAAGGCCACAGTTCAGAACCGCAACAGCTGGCCAGTGCCCTTCAGCGGGATGGGCAGGAGGGCCTGTCGTCAGCCTGCTCCGGGTTTGGATCCACCTGCAGATGAGAACACATCAGTGTCACTGTGCAGCCCAGCTGGGTATCAGCCCCTGCCCAGAATAACCACACAGCATAAGCTCCTCATGCTACCCTTATGGCCTGAGAGGGTGGGGATGGCCAGCCTGCAGGGGGCAGCCACTAGTGTCACCAGAAGCTAATGGAGCATGGGATACACATGCATGCAAGTGATGTGTCTTATCTTCCAGGGACCGAGTGTCCCCTATCATGGCCTGGCACTGAGACTGGAATACAGGAAAACATCTTCTCAGCATGGGTCTCATTTCTGTAGCCCCAGGCCCCCAGGCTTGGGACTGGGAAGCCCTGTGAAAGGGACTTTAAGAGGCACAGTGACACACAGTGACCTGCGCACTGGCCCCTCCCTGTCACAGGTATCTGAGTCTTTGCCTGTGGACCAGGGAAAGGGAGCCCTCGGTACAGCAGGGACAAGGCGCCTATCAAGAACCCAAAGCGAAAGAATTTGGAAGGAAAAATCAAAAAGAATTTTTGCTTACTTCAGGACTGAACCTACTTTAATGTTGCAAGAAACTTAAATGATCTAAAAGCTCGCTGACAGAGAAAAAGAGATTTGCAGCAGGGCGTGGAGTGAGGGGAGTGTGGACTGACTGCTTTTTCACATTCCTTGGATTGTCCAGAAGCCAAATGATGTCTGATGGGAGGACTGGAACAGACAGGTGTGGGCATGGTGGTGCACACTGTAACACCAGCACTCGGGAGGCTGGAGAGGAGGCTCACTGGGAGTTCCAGGCTGCCCTGCACTATGTAGTGAGTTCAGGTCAGCCTAGACTACATAGTGAGTACCTGCCTCAAAGAGAACAAAATACCCCAGCAATTTGAAGAGTAAAAGCAATTTCCTTCCTGCAAATTTGACTATGAAATACTGTACCTGTTTTATTGTAAAACAGCAACATAAACCATAGTAACCCAAAAAACAAGTCATTTGCAAAATCATCTTGCTTTAGGCGAACTTCAAAGGTCCTACAAAACATGTATCGTGGCCTTGGGTTTTCTGAAAACCCAAACTGCTGCATCACCTCCTCCCATGTTTGCTGTTTTCTGGTGTGAGTGAGGCCTGCTTGCTACTCAGACTCCTGGAAGGTGCTCTGCAAGAAAGCAGTGTTCTAGGTATCACTGGCCTAAGACTTTGTGCTAAAAAAAAAAAAAGACTTTGTTCTAGTTTTATTCTTATACTAACCTGTGAGCTTCTCCCAAGACAAAAGCTTACTCCTATAAGCATTCAGCTGCCATTGATGACAGGAATAAAAATCGTCCAACAGTGCAGGAATGTTGCTTAAGAAGTTATCAGAAGTAATCTGCTCTTTGAGTAGGAGCCTTAAAATATGCAAAATTTAAATTGGATAGAGCCTGAGTAAGGTCAGTGCTAGCTGTTGAATCAATGTTTGCAAAATGCTATTTGAAAATAATTTTTTTTTTTTTTTTGTATTTAGGACAGGATCAACAGGGTCTAACTGTGTAGATCACACTTGGAGTGATTCTCCTGTTTTCAGCCTCCCAAGAGCTGGGATTACAGGTGCGCATGACCACACTCAAGTCTCAGCATGACCCATGGGCGGGGCCAGCATGGCAGGCCCAGGGGTCTAACTCCCGGCCACTGTGTCTGCCTGAGCAGGCGTTTTAATCTGCTGAGCTATTTGGCTGGCCCTAAAAAATTGTTTCTTAAAATAAAATTAAAAAGGTTCAAAATGAAGCTAGACCATTACTTTGCTTCTACAGTAGTAAGTGAACAGCCTTACGTCTCTGTCAAACTTAGTAAATCTGATAACCCTAAATGCAACTTTGAAATGGCTGAATACTACTTCAATCATCTCCTTATCTGGGACAGGGTCTTGCTGTGACATTTGGGCTGCCCTCAAACTCCTCCTGAGTGCTGTATCACAGGTGTGTGCCTCCAGCTCAGCTTACTTCTATTATTCTCAGGATAATCAGGGCCTTTCTGTACCTTTCTAAAGTCTTTAATGCCATTTTCTAAGAGCCAGCCACTAGATCCAGTGCTCACCTCTGAATAGAGTGGGGGTGGCAGGAACCGGAACTCCTGAATGTAGGCCAATAGTGGGCCCTGCAGTGCCCGCTCGAAGTTATCGCAAGCACTGTTGTGTGTGAAGTTGCTCCGCCTTTGCTCCTCTGTCACCACTTCTGCATAGCTGGGCGGTGCTGAGGGAACAAGATTCACGCAATTCGAACAGCACGTTCTTATGCATGTCAAGATACACAGAATAATCAGTATTAAAAAAGGAGGTCAAGGCAAATGGTAGTAATTTGTGGGGACGACTTGCACTACAGAGACATAACCCTAAACTTAACATGAAAGCATATCTATTCTATGTAGGCAAAGAACTCTAGCTAGGGTTGTCAGACATCAAAAACAAACTAAAGTTCTCAACAGACAACAGCAGCAGCCCAGGGGGTGAAGCTTAGACTTGAGTAGTGAGTTACCTTCTGGCCTCTCGGGGAGGGACAGGCTAAGCCAGTTCATGTTCATGCTGCACTGACTGCTCACGCTGGATGTTCTGCTACCAAAAGGGTGCAAGGGGATGGTGCCAATGACCAGCGGCAAGTTCAGAAATAAGTCCATAGCCCCAGGAATATCCACGTACACCTACACAGAAGAAGACACTTGGGTGAGAGGCAGCCAGGATCTCTTTTCCACTACAAAAAATTTTTTTAAAACAAGGTCTATGACGTTTAGGCTCTCCTTGAACTCTCTAGTCTAGGCTGACTCAAGGCCTCAGTCTCCCCAGTGGTGGAAATAGAGGCGTGAGCCGTCATGCCTGGTTGGGACTTTTCTCTTAAAAACAATTTCCACATTTACTGGTTCCCTATCTGTTTTATGCTTCTCCTTATATATACACACACGCAAAAACATTTCATATCCAATGTTAAAATACTATGTTTCTATATGAAGTAAATTAGTAAATTATACTCCAAACAAGATTAATACACATACTTCTTACAACACCTAAGACCACCCTATTTTCTGTCATTGCATGAGAGGTCTGAACATCAGACTCTGGACTGTCAACTGCATACCATGAGTGCGTATTCCACACGAATGATGCTGCAGTCTAGGATGGAGGGTGACACAGGTGGGATCTTGAGTAGCTTGCCATCCCACGTCTCTGTCTTCCCAGATGACAGCGACTCCCCACGTAGGTTGGCCACCAGCTGTTTGACCTCCTTCATCTTGCCCTTGGCGTAAAAGGCCTGTGTCTGGTAGATGGCTGCCTTGGGCACCACCATGCGCGATGAGCAGTTCTCAATCTCGGCAAAGATCTGGATGGACTCGCCTGGGCAGGATGGATGAAAGGTTAGAGCTCAGCTAGCAGTGCCCCACTACACCACCTGGGACCGCAGGGCCCTACCAACCAACTAGGTGTCCTCAGCAGCTGCCTTGATCTGTGCAGACAAACCAGATAAGCACAGCTTAGGCTATTTTACCAAAAACTGTTCACAACTGGGTAATGTTTAAATCTGGCACAAACAGTCTAAGTTTATATAAAAAAGCAAAGTGAGGAAAAGACTTGTTTTTTTGAGACAGGTCCTATTTGATTAGTTGAGGCTGGCTCTGACTTAATGATCTGCCTGCCTCAGCCTCCTGAGTGCTGGGAATACAGGTGTGCGCCCCCACCAGTGGTCCAATCATGTACATACCTGGGGTATAGCCCTTCCTTTCGATTTTGGCACTTAAGGATATTGGGCCTGAGGTACAGAACCAGCAACACAGAGTCTTTTCTTTTGTGCCTGCTTGAGGTGACTGTAAGAAAGAAAGTTTGAGAAAACTATCAATGTATGAATCGGTAAAATACTTGAGTATTTTAAATAGTATTCCAAATTCTTGGAGAATGTACAAATAATTGTATGGCTTTCTCCCCACCCCCACCAGAATACTCCCCCCCCAATGCCTTTTAAATTATATTATTTTTGTTTTTAAATAAACCTAGTTTTAACCAAGCTAGTTACATAGACAATAATTAAAAACAAAAAAAACCCTTTCCAAATTCCATTTAAACTACCTTAAGGAAAGGCAGCACAGGAAGTAGGGTGGTTATAATCTCAAATGTTAACATCTTTGAGAATGTAAAAATTCACATATAAAAAAACCTATATTTTAAGGTTCTTAGTTGCTTTTAAAGATGTTACCATTTGTTTAAACCAAAGTCTTTTAGTCAAATTTGAATCTCAGAAAATGCAATGAAAAAAGGTTTTAATAAAGAAATTTAAGTTTTTTTCCATGAAAGCAATGATTCCCCATCATTTGACAACTATCCCTAGTTGGAATAATGCAATGCAGTATGATCTGATAAGGCATGTTCAGGTTGAGTGACAGTGTCTCACAACAAGTGACTCTACTGTTCCTCTTCCACTGGAGTCCTTGTCCAGGGAACAGATCTTTGGTATGACTGTCTTGTTCTGAGCTGGGGCAATGTCACCCCACATGCTGGTCTTACTTTTAAATTTATTTAAAGTGACTGCAGCATCAAAAATGGACAGATTCTTCATTAACTTGTGGCACTCTTGACAATTCAAAAATAGAAATATTTATGGGACTTGAAAAAATAAAACTACTATTTCAAAGTCATGAAGCTTGAATAGTTCAGGTGATGTATTCTTTAGTATCCAGATGCCAAAAAACAAACAATGAAGAATTTAGTCTTTTCTTACCAGTAATGAAGGAGTGTTGATATCTATATGCTCAAAGACTGTAAATTCCTTCTTTAATTTTACTGGTAGAAGCCAAGGCCTGTGCAGTTCGGCTTTCACCCAATAGCGCACACTGCCATGCCGGCCTTCGAATGAGGTAGCAAGTGGTCTGCGTAGAATATAAAGGTCAATATATTAATCCTACTCCCCCTTCTAAGAGCGATGCAGTGGGGCGGAAGACGTGGTGACAGCGACTCTGGATCGCCAGGGAGGTAGCAAACATCTGACTGGGCAAAATTCCCAAAGGGATAAGTCACTGGGGAAAAAAACCTTATTTCCAAATAAAATAGATAGTAATAGTTAAATATTAGAAAATTTGCTTTACGAAGCCAGAAGAATACAATCCCTTTAAACTAAGAAGAGGTTACTTTTTTAATACTTGGTGGCAAAATTTATCACAGTTGAATACAATTCTTGAAAAGGTCAAGAATTTCATTTAAAAAGTTAAGAATGGCTCAACTATTCCTATTGAAAGTTCTAGACACTGGGAATGATTCAGACCAAATCCTCTGTTATGTCTCTCATAATTAGGATAATCGTTTTTAGTTTCAAAAATTTCACATTGCATAAAGCCCACTGAGATTGCACTTCTCAGCGGATTCATGTTAAAGCTATTGGCTATGTTTCCCAACTTTACTAAGACATTAAAAACTAAAATATTTCTATGATCTACAGCGTATGAATCAGAACTCTCTCGTGAACTGTTACCTTTTTGGAATTTACTATTTTTCAAAGGCTTGACTTTAGTAACAGCCCTTTTGTCATATTTTCATTAGAGAAACAAATGTTCAGTTATTTACAAGGTAGAGTGCCAGCTTACAGAAGCAGATTTTGCAAATAATTTGATTTGCATTTTCGATTCTCACCTTTTAACATATAAAGCATACTGAAATATAATTAAGTAACTGATTTACACACTGTTCAAAAAACTTGAAAAATATCACTTGTAAACCGTATGTACATATCTCAAGTCCTAGAATTACAACAATTTTGTTATATAATTAATGCAATAGATGTATAATTATCTACATCTGGCCCATGACAAATTCTACATACTCTTAAATTTATTCTCCAGAACAGTGAGTTAGCACGTTTTAGGATCTGTTAAGTGATTAACATTAGTAAAAAAGACCTTTATGTGCTAAGACTTGACCAGTATTTTCTAACGACACTGTTAGTACTCACAAAGTACTATCTCTCAGTAGCACCCTCCAACTCACTTGGATTAAATGAAATACTATGAATAGTTGGACATAGGCTTTAGGAAAAATTCTAGTAACTGAACTTGCTTTCTGTAATTTTGCCACTCTGGATTAAAAAAATAGCTTCTTATGTTTAACACATTGTTTTCCTCTAGCAACTTTCTGTACTGAAAAGGGTTTTTTTTTAAAAGAAAAAATAAAATTAAAAAAATTCCATTTAGAGTATGTGATTGTGCAAGATTGCTCTCGCCCTGGGTGTGTGTCAAGAGGCCTCGCGCAGGACACTTACGTCTGTGGCAGCTCGAAGCTGAACGCATACTCGTGCCTTCCTGAAGGAATGGTGTGGAAGCCTTCCTCAGAATTATCATCGTCTGGAACAGAAAAAGGGAAACAAAACCCCTCATTAGGTGTGTACATACCTCGGGTAGGCGCAACTTTAATAAAGGTGCTCATCTAATAATGAAGGCACCGGCCTTGGAGTTTCAGATCTGAGTTCTAATTCCAATTTCATCACTTCCTCTGGATCAAGTAAAAACTATCCATCTCCAGCTGCTTTATCTGTAAAATGGGATAAGGCATACTTAAGACCCACAGGCTTTCTTATTTTTAATGGAAAATGATCCAAGCTATAAAGCAAGCATGTCGAACGCAGCAGACTGCTCGGGCCTCAGATGTTACGTTGGCTGCTAAGGAAGCTGTTTCCTTCAGTTAAAATCCTACGAACAGCATAATGTGTAAAGTAACGTTCAGGTAAATTTTAAGGTATTTAAGGGGGACAACAGCGACAGGAGAAGGTATGCACGAGGCAACTTTGGTTAAAACGCTGGGGCTTGGAAACTTCCAGTTGTCTCCAGACAAACACTGACGAGGGTCCGGCAGCAGCCCTGCCGCCCTGGACCGCGGGGTCCCAGGAAGCTCTCGCCGCGAGGTGCACCCCAGCCCAGGGCCGGGAGCCCCGGCGCCCAACTTCTCACAGAAGTGCTGAGCACGCACAAAGATGGATGCGTCCCTCAGCCCGCCGAGACATGCGGGCAGCAGTCCCCGCACGGCGCCCGCCGCCGCTGTGCCGACCCCCTGAGGGTCCTGGGGGAGGGTGCCATGCAGGGGACGCCGTGCCGGGAACCCCAAGTTTGCCTCCCGCCCCGCTTCCTTTTTGTGCCAGCTCAGCAGCTCCGCGAGGCGCGCCGCGGTAAACAAGTGCCTGGCTGTCAATCAAGAACTAGACCCGAGCAGGAGCGGACCGGCCTAAACCGGCGCGAGCAGAACTCAGCCGGCCGCCGCGCGCCGCCGCCCGCGCGCGCTGCTATACATACGGCATACGTCGCGCCCGCGCACGCGCAGCCCAGCCTGCTGGCCGGGGGCGGGGCGCCGGCGGCCGGGCGCTTCCGCCTCACACGCCCCAGCCGGCGACCGGTTCTAGCTGGCTTGGGCCATCCGGACACCTTGGCAGCGGCGGCGGGGGCGGGGAACCGGGAACAATGGGGGAGGGGCGGGCGACGCCGACTAGGGCCCCACCCCGGGGTGCATATTTGAGCCACTTCAGCCTGTTCTCCCCGACCCCGCGGGTTAAGTCAAGATAGCCGTCCGGGCGGGGTGGGGTGGGCCGCGACAGACCGGCACCCACACTTTGTTCCTGCAGAAGCCACCACATGTCGACCCTACGCTCAGGAGGGTCGTGCCGCCTCCGCGGTCAAGTTCCTGAGCACGGGGCTTTTGGCCAAAGTTGCGCGCACAGCCGCTGGGCACCTGTGAGGCCTGCGGAACGGCTCTCACCACGCACTCTGCACAAGGCCGCGGCTTTGGGGTGCGGGGCAGGGCGGGGCGCGAGGTGACACCGGCACGGGGTGGGCGGGGGCGGCGACGGCGGCTACGGGGACCTTTACCGGCGCACGCCGGTTCCGAGCCTCGCCCAGCAGCGCCCGGCACGGTCTCCCCACCCGCCGTGCCCAATCCAATCAGCGCCTGGCATCGCCTTAGCAACAGGCTAACAAACCGGGCTCCGCCTATCGCCGGCCGCAGGGGGCGGGGCCTCCGTGACCAGGCTAGTTTGAGAGCTGCACTTCAAGTCATTGAAACTATTCCAGGCCGGGCTCGTGCACGCGCAGCGCGGCTCGAGGGCGTCTCGCAGGGGCATGGGGCACTCAGTTTTCTTTACTGAATCATCAGGAGGCAACTAATGAGCTGATGGTTATGCCCATAACTCATTGTTTTACTTTTCCTCCATTAAAAACCTCAACTCTTTTAAAGAAAAACCTTTGTTTCTTCTCGGCTGTTTTATAAAAGGCTGCAAGGTCCAGAAAGGTTCAAGCACAAACTTAGGCATCTGCTGTGCAGCGCAGACCGGCACTGTCACCGGGCATCTGCATTTCCTATCTACCTAAATCGCTTGGAGAGACTGACTAGAAATTAGTTCCGAGGGTAACGCACCTCTGGGTAACTATCAAGATCCTATTCCAAACTGGTTTCACCTTAATATTTTCCAAAAAGCTGCATGAACGCTGTAACTCAAAGCATCCTTCTTTGGCCTTAGCTCAATGAGCACCGACCTACGATATACATTTTTAATATAAAGAGGTAAAATATGCCTTTAGTTCTGAAAAACCAACATTTGGACTGAATACTGCATTAAAAAGGAGAAGCACAAAAATTACATAACCAGTTTTAACATTATATTCTTCTTGGGCTGGGAATTAAGTCATCGCCACCACCTGACGCGTGTAACCAATCTGCGCAGAGCTCAGCGAGCGCCCCTCCTCACCAACCCCCAGAACTGGTCCGAAACAGGATTGAACCGCTTCTAACAAAGGGTGGAAACTTAGAAAAACAAGCTAAGAGTCGCCTAGATTTCCACAATATAACCATTTAAACAACAGATCGGAAATCTCAGGACCCCCTCTCCCTCTGACAACCCTGGATCACCCTCTTGGAGGCGAAAATCAATTCCCGTGCGCCGGGGACTTTGCAATTCCATCGGACCTGCATGGGTTTCATTGAATGCACGGTCCCAAGTTAGACGTGATCCTTGCAGAAAAAAGAAAACGACTGACTCTGGATGGTTCTTCACACTGACTTCCTAGCTACACTACCGAGAGGTGCTAGCTTTTAAAAATAAAAAATGCTGGGTGGGAATTTCTAAAGAACTGGAAAGAATAGGGAACAAAACACGTGGGGGAGTCTACCATATGTCAAAATAAGCCACAGAAACCTTTCATCAAAGAATAACGATCAGTGATTTAAAGTCTATAGCATGTCAGTATGGAAACCAAATCCATCCCTGAACCTCCCTGAAAATCTTAACTCCATTTCTTCGCTAGCGCTCAGCGTTGAGACCTAAGGTCGGTAAAGTAACATGGGGGAAAAAATCTATCATTGCCCTGCAGCTTTTAGCGATGTACGCGAAGCCGCAGCAGCCACACGCCCAAGCTGGTGCGTGCGAGGTGCGGTGCGGCCGGCCCGGGCGCAGCGAGCGCCCGCCGCCCCGCGGATGCTGCAGGCTGGCTGCGCCGGCGGCCGCCGAGAAGCCGGCGCCGAGGAGCCTTCCCCGAGCAGCGGCGCCGCACTCACCTCTCTCGTGCCCGACGAGCGTGTCTTTGTGGTTGAAATACTCGACTTCTTCCGTGTAATTCTGCGTGTAGGCAGTGTTGGAGCCGGCGTTTCTCGATTCCGTCCAGCGCACTTTCGCGTGTCCTCTTGCGTGGATTTTCAGAGATTTCACTCGAATTTCCCCAGTAACTTCTAAATTCACCCTGCCTGAGACGGTGTCCCCGCTAGAGTACACGGGGACATTGCTGTCATTAAGACAGTCAAAGCTTATCGTCAAACTCTTCACCTTCCCCAGCACCATGGTGGTAACAAAACCTATAAAAATATAATGTAAGACCAAAAGGAGGGGAAAGTCAAGATCGCATATAAAATGTGATCTTCAGACACTGATCGATGTCTTTGCCGTGCAGAAAGAAAAAAAAATGTTGCAGGCCGGATCAGCGATTCTTTACAAATAGTTCATTGAGATTTCTAAAAAGTCAGGGCAGCGGAGAGGCTGCCGCCGCGGCTCTCCGCCAGCCTGCTCGTCTCAGTGGTCTCCTTACAAAGACGGGAGCCCGGCGGCTGCCAGCTCACTTTAAGAGCAGCTTTGTGAAAAACAACCCCAGTGCGCACGCGCACGCCGCGGCAGCGGTCCGCCCTCCCCGCGCGCCCCCTCAGCGCGAGCACGCGCGCACGCTCGCTCCCCGGCC